TTTTTCACTGAAAGGGTTCTCAGCCCTTGGAATGGGCTGCCCAGGGAGGGGGTTGAGGCCCCATCCCTGGAGGTGTTCAAAAGATGGGTTGATGTGGTGCTGGGAGGTATGGTTTAGTGATGATGCTCCTTGTTTGTTGTGTGGGTGTCTATTTTTGTCAAAGTTAGGTTGACGGTTGGACAAGATGATCTTTAAGGTCCCTTCCAACCTAGAAGATTCTGTGATTCTGTGGCACTCCCAGTAATGAACTGGGACCAGTCTGGCAGGAGCTAAAGCACCGGGTGGAAGGAAGAGGCCAAGCCACGTGGGCTCGTATGGCCCAAAGAGGCGGCGGAGGGAACGGTACCACTGCCTGTGGCTGAGCAGGAGCGTTAGGAGCCACCAGCAAAACTCGCCAGGGAAGAACCGGGGCGAAATGGGTAAAAACTGGTAGAGCCGAGGGCAGCGCTCTCACCTGGAGCGGCGGCGGGAGCCGTAGCGGTAGCCCCGGTCGGGGGAATAGGACCGGGAGCGTCGCCGACTGTCCCAGGAACCCCCTCCCGAGTAGCGGCGGCTGCGGGAGCGGGAGCGCGAGTAGCGGCGGCTGCGGGAGTGGCAGTAGCGGCTGGAGCGGTGGTAGCCACCGCCTCGGTGCGAGCGGGAGCTGGAGCGGGAGCTGGAGGAGGAGGAGGAGGACGGGGAGGAGGAGGAGGACGAGGAGCGTCTCCTGGAAGGGACAGAGGGGACGAGGCATTGGCACACGGGAGGAGAGAGGAGGGGCTGGGACCCTCATTGACCCCCGGCACCGCGTGGTGCCACACGGCAGGACCCTGCCAACAGTCCCACAAGGAGAGTGGGTCACCTTTCCTCTGCCCCACGCTGGGGGGGCACGGCCCGAATGACCCCGGAGCTGCCCGGCCCTCTGCCAAGGGGCTGCAAACCCCCTGGGACACCCAACCGTGCTGGGAAAGGGGCTGTGACAGCCACCCCAATTCCCTCCCTGAGCTCTCCAGGAGCTGGCAAGACGCTCTCTTCTCTTGGAGGGCAAGAGGCATCTTGACTCACACCCGAATTCCAGCCCCCCCATCTCCAGGAAGACTCGGAGATGCCACAAAGATCCTCTTTGAGATGCCCGGGCAGTGCAGCAGAACCAGGGAGGCCACACATCCCATGTGCCAGGACACAACGGAGAACCCACCCGCTCCTTCCCACCGGGTTCCCCCCTCCTCAAGAAGGGCCAGCCAAGGGCTTCGGCAGCTGGCCTGCCCCACGGCCACCTGGCCTCCGAGGGTAAGGGTTTTTGGGAAAACGAGCCGGATGGGAGAGTTACCGACCGGGACGAGGTGCTATGACCTGCCGCGGCGCTGCCCGGCTGCCCTGGGGCAGAGCGCTGTTTGCCGAGCGCGGTGGTTTTTCCAGAGACGCCGCCGCCTCCAGCTTGTGCTGACGCCGCCGCCGCTTCCTCATCGCTGCCACCGAAGCTGGTGATGAAGGTGATCTTCTCCTCGTGGCCAGGAGACGGGGTGCGGGACCGGGAGCGGGATTCGGAGGTGGACTCTGACGGGGAGCTGCGAGGATGGAAGTGGCTTCGGTTGCCCAAAATCACTCCTCTCCCCCAAAAAACACTGGATGCCAGGTTCCCCGCCAACCGTCGGGGACCTGCAGGAAGGTGACATCCCCAGCCTGGAGAACTCCTTTGTGCCAGGGCTGCTCACCGTTTGTAGGGATCGTAGGTGGGGCTGTCTCTCCGTGCGTAGCTGCAAGAGGGGAGGGAGGCAGGGAAAGAGGAATCAGGAAATCGGTGGGACAAACCGGCACGGGGTGACACCTGGGATGGAGCCACCCGGGACAGACAGGAGCAGCCCCCAGGCTGTGGCCGAGCTCCAGGATCCCCGTCTGGGCTGCGGGAAGCTCACCTCGGGGGGCTGATCTTCCTCCCTTTCAAGCGTTTCTCCCTGAACTCCCTCCTCTGGCGGCGAGAGCGACGGCCCTGGGAGAGCAGCCGGAGCTAAGAGATGGCACCGGCTGGGGGGAAGCTGCCCCGGGAGCTTGCACCTCCCCCCTTGGGAGGCAGAGGTGCCTCCGTGAGCACTGGGGGAGCCAAGGCAACCGCACGGGCCAGGCTGATGCCCTGGAAGGGGGCTGGCCACGGGGAGGGGGCAGAGGTGGCCAGAGCTCCCCTTACCGAGTACATCGCCTTTTCTTCTTCCAGGGCTTTGGCATTTTTAATAGCTTCTGCCTCTTCTTTGTCCTTCCGCAACATCCTTTCCACCCCCCCAAAAAAAGACAGAGACCCTCAATAGGCCAGCACCCCAAAAGGGAGCATGTGCTCAGGGGAGGTTTTTGAGGGGCCCCCCGTTGTAGTGAAGGGTTCAGCCCCCGGTGAGAAGGGGACAAAGTCCTACCTGACGAAGTCCCCCTCAGCCATGCCGTACGTGGTCGCCTGCTTGTTCAAGTCGGCCACTTGCTCCTGGTTCAACTCGTCCACGTCCACTTCCACGTCTGCGGGCAGAGCACGGGCAGCTCAGTGCACCCCCCAGCCCCCCAAGTGCCCAGGGCACATCTGCCAAAGCCGGGGGAAACAGTGCCATTACCAATATCAGGGATGACTTCGTCCTCATCCGTGTTGCTGTCTTCCTCGGAGTCTTCCTCCTCCCCCCGCTTCTCCAAGGAGTTCTCCAGCTCGGCCACGGTGCTGTCCTCGTAGGTGTAGCCAATGGAAGCCTTTTTCTCCGCCAGCCTGGGCACAGACACGCTCAGCCCCTGCCCACCTCCCCCCTCCACAGCGGGCAAGAGGGCATCGGGGCAGAAAGTGCCCTTGGGAAGAAACCAGCCCTTCCTCTGCCTCCCTCAGCAGCCCCGGGACAGCCTTGAGGCCACAGCGACAAGGACAGGATGGATTATTTCAGTTGGAGACGCAGGGGACAACTTCAGGGTGTCACCGAGAGCAGGTGAGGGAGGACGGTGCCCACCCCAGGAGAGGAGAAACTGGGACCAGTTGAAGAGTGGGTGTTTCCAAGGCCGTGGAGCCACAGTCCCAAACGCAGCCCCCGAGGACAGGGATGTGACAACCATCCTCTGTCACCTCTTCCACACTCACTTCTTTTTTTCATCTTCATTTGGCTTCTGGAGCCCCCCGTAGAGCTCGTCGATGTAGATCTGGTAGAGACACTGCTCCTCCGAGACTGCAACCACACAGGGATGTTACCAGCTCGCTTTACGCCCACTTGAGAGAGAACAGCTCAGAGAGCTGATTCACCACAGCTCCTCAGAGGGGAAACAGCTCTCCCAAACCCTGCCACCCCCAGAGCAGTGGTCCCTTGCCCATTGGCTAATGCCACATGCCCCAGATGAGATAGGATTTCCCCCGAATTATGGGAGGGGTCGCCCCATCCCAGCACAGCCCCGACCCTCCCGCCCGCACCAGCCACTTACTGCCGGCAAAGTCATTCTGCACCAGGCCCCGGTACCGCTCGTAGTTACACTTCCTCTCGTCCGACTCCTGCTCAGGGGAGCTGGAAAGGAGGAGGAGACGCAGCTTTTGGTGCTCACAAGCCTCTGGAGAGATGGAGGCTCCCCCTTCCCCAGGGGATTTTGGCCCATGGAAAAACCACAGCCCCTTTCTGCTCGGATTAGCGAGATCCGACTCCCGGCTGCACAGAGAGCCCAGGGCTGGGGTTTGCAGGCACAGGATTTCATGCTGTTCTGGGATTTCCTTAAAAACCCAGCAAAGGGGGCAAACTCCTCTCCAGAGCTCGTGCCGAAGGGCCAGAGCAGCAGCAATCGGGGCAGGAAGGGAACCTGACTGCTCTCCACAGCCCCAGCCCTGGGGGGAAATTCGCCTTCTGCCCCATCCCTGCCCGAAGCAGGACCGACTGCAGCACCTCTCTCCAGAGACCCCACCAGCCTTTGGGGGTTGTGCTGCTGCTTCATTAATACCCTCGCTCTAATTTTGGCCTTTTTGTCACACCCTCTTACTGCAGACCTGTGTAAAAATCTCAGTGCTGTATTCTCTTAACGTTTGGAGTACAAAAACGCTGCTGTGGGGCCCCCACGCTCCAGCCCTACCCATCCCCCTGCGCTCGCTCCCCCTTATCCTCCTGGTACTGGGATCTCCACACTGGTCCCAGTACATTAAAAGTCTAAAAAGCAGCCCTGCAGCGACCCCAGCCCAGGCTCGCAGGCGACGAAACCTCAGGCAACTGCTCCAGACCAGCCCCAAGGATGCCTGCTGGGGACCCCGGCAGCTCCCGTCGGGGCTGGGGGCCCTGGTGCCCCCCCAGCTTACATGGGGTTCAGCAGGGGCGGGGTGTACATGGGGATATAGTCCAGGTGCGCCCGCACGTCGAAGCGGTCGATCATGTTGTTCGTGTCCCCCTGCCAGGGCATCCTGTGGGGTAAGAGAGGGAGAGGTCAGCAGGGCTGGGGGGCAGCCAGAAACCCCCCTCCAGGAGGAGCAAGGCCCACAGAATCACAGAATCTTAGTGGTTGGAAGGGCCCTCTGAGATCATCGAGGCCAACCACAAAAAAAAAAAAAAAAACCAACAAAAAAACCCCACCAAACAAATACAAAACACACCACACCAAACGCCCACCAAAAACACCGCACCCACCAACTAAACCCCACACTCAACACCTCGCCATAAACCAATAACCTTGGGCACTAGAACATGCCCTGAAGAGCCATGTCTAGACGTTTCTTAAATCCCTCCAGGGATGGTGACTCCCCCACCTCCCTGGGCAGGCTGTTCCAGGGCCTGACCACTCTCTCAGTAAAGTAGTTCTTTCTAATATCTCATCTAAATCTCCCCTGCCCCAACTTCAGACCATTTCCTCTGGTCTTGTCGTTCGTCCTTTGGGAGAAGAGGCCAACACCTGCCTCTCTACACCCTCCTTTCAGGTAGTTGTAGAGGGCAATGAGGTCTCCCCTCAGCCTCCTCTTCTCCAAACTAAACATGCCCAGTTCCCTCAGCCTCTCCTCATAGGATTTGTTCTTCAGGCCCCTCACCAGCTTGGTGGCTCTCCTCTGGACATACCCCCCCAAACCTGTAAAAACACCCCCTTGAGCACCAGTGGCTCGTTTGCCACAGCAGCATCTCCTCGAAGCTCTGGAAGAGGAGGAACCAAGTCCTTTCCCCAGGCCTTTGATGGGCAGAAACCTGCCCAGGTTTCATTCCCCAGGGCAGGAGGGACCCGGCTGGCCCCGGGGTTGTGACCAAAAAGCCAGGACCGTGCCCCCAGCTGGGCAAAAACCTCCCCCTGTTCACCCCTGACCCCCCACCGGCGGGCTCAGTGCCTCTCAAAGACACTGCAGATGTCACCTGGGGAAGGTGACACTTCATTGAGGCACCAATCTCTCCTCCCTCACCCCCTCGTCAGCCCAGGGAGGGGTGGGAGACACCTCCTGCCCCCCCCGTGGGGCTACTCACATGTTGACGGGGCTCTCGGCGGCCAAGGCGACGGCCGAGTCCAGGTGGACCTTGCAGGCCCGGCCGTGCACCTGCAGGAACTGGGCCGGGTCCTTTTTCTAGAAGAATTAAAAAAAACCCAGGGTTAGAAAGAAAAAAAGCAGGAGTAAAAAACCTGAGGACAAGAAAAAAAGGGAGCGGGAGCCCCAAGCCCTGGGGGAAAGGGGAGCAGGAGCCCCAAACCTGAGGAAAAAGGGGGAGCGGGAGCCCCAAACCTGAGATAAAAAGGGGGAGCGGGAGCCCCAAACCTGAGATAAAAAGGGGGAGCGGGAGCCCCAAACCTGAGGAAAAGGGGGGATTGGGAGCCCCAAGGCCTGAGGAAAAAGGGGGGATTGGGAGCCCCAAGGCCTGAGGAAAAAGGGGAGCAGGAGCCCCAGACCTGAGGAAAAAAGGGAGCCCCAGACCCTGAGGAAAAAGGGGGAGTGGGAGCCCCAGACCCTGAGGAAAAAGGGGAGGGGGAGCCCCAAACCTGAGGAAAAAGGGGAAGCCGGAGTCCCAAGTCCTGAGGAAAAAGGGGAGCAGGAGCCCCAGACCCTGGGGAAAAGGGGATCGGGAGCCCCAGACCCTGAGGAAAAAGGGGATCGGGAGCCCCAGACCCTGAGGAAAAAGGGGGAGCGGGAGCCCCAAGGCCTGAGGAAAAAGGGGGAGCAGGAGCCCCAAGGCCTGAGGAAAAAGGGGAGCCCCAGACCTGAGGAAAAAGGGGAGCGGGAGCCCCAGACCCTGAGGAAAAAGGGGAGCCCCAGACCCTGAGGAAAAAGGGGGAGCCCCGAGCCTCCAGCGGTGCAGAAAAGGGAAAATCAGGAGCCCTGAACCTCAGGGCAAAGGGGGAGTGCGAATCTTGGAGAAGAGAGGGAGCAGGAGCTGGAGCCACGGGGGAAAAGGGGAAGCCCAAAGGGGGGGCAGCCCAAAGGGGGGGCAGCTTTGCCTGGGTGGGTTTAGGATGCCCCCCCCAGGGAAGGGGAGGCAGCACCCAGACCCACAGCTCCGTTATCCGTCCCTCCCCTGCCCCACCACCAGCCGGGAAGCGCCCGGGCAGCCCCCAAACACCC